TTTTTTAGCTACAATAAGAACAACTCATTAGGAACCGTGTATTAAATTTTCAAGTTTCTTTGGTCGTTCAACATTTTTTAATGACACTTCAAAAAAAATTCTCAAAAAAATCGAAAATTTCAGTGGTCTATAAATAACTCAAAAAAAGTCAAAATTTTTTGAAAATTAAACTGTATTTAGATATCACTAACATTAACATTTGATGAAAATTTCAAGTATTTACAGTGATTAGTTTTTGAATTACAATCATATAACTATATATACAACAAATTTTTTAATCAATGTGATGAACTGGCCAACTTGCTAGTTTTGAGAGTGTATGGATTTCATATATTCCTAGTTTTGAAGATAAACATAGTAATGTAAATAAATTTTCTTTTCCTAAAAATTTGCTACCAATTATCACTTCACATTGTAGTTTTTTATGGTATGAAATATTATAAATTTTAGTAATATCACCATTTATTGTACTACAATATTGGTTTTTAGAATCTTACGAAATTAGTGTGAATTCTTTGAATTTTAATGCTTGGTATTGARGACCACGTTTATTGACAGATAACTGTGGACCACACAATTATGATTTTTAATTTTACCAATAAGTTTTCATCAATAACGATTTGTTTTAGAAATATACAGTCATTAATACCAGGGTAATTTTCAGGTAGTAAAGTATTTGTATTTATATGTTCTATATCTAAGTTTTACCTACATTAACGAAAAAATCATTAAGTTCATTACAGATATCAATTTTAGAATCTGTAACAATACCAACTTTATTTATTATCTTATTAATTCTATTAACAATTTGGTTTGGTTTACCAGTGACCTAATTTATTAAACTTAAAACTTATTTACCTGCTAAGAAGCTAAGATCTAGGTATACTTTTTGATAATTTATTTAGATTTTAAATAACAGAGTGCAACATTATTTAGTTTGCTACATATTTTTGAGGTTTCCTGACGAAAATTTTGAGGCTACCAAAATTATTAGCATTTCAGAGTACTAATCTATTCTATTCACACAATATAAAAAATTCKATTTGTAGTCCTTCAATGACCGTCAAATCGTACATAGGTACAGGCTAATAGTAAACCAACCTTATAAAAATTATAAATTCTATAAATACTTGATATACTACTATTCTATTTTTCCTAAGCTGTAAAGTATCTCTTAATTTTTAAATGCATACATTATTTGTTACAAATAATATTAGATGATTTCAATTAAAATGACATATTTCTATACCTATATATTATAGTTATTAACTATTTTTACTAAGGTTTGGCTTGCACATATATTTTGATTTGAACACAACATTCTTACCAATACATAGACTTATTGTATTTGGTTGATTCAAATTACTGATACATTGTAATATATAGTTAATTTTAAGTATAGAATACAAAGTCCCTTCACGATTATTATTTTGATATAAATGTTAAATATCGATGGATATAGAACGAATTTATTAATTTATCTTGATTAATGAAATATTATTACATAAAAAAATAAACTTAAATATTTGAAGCTAATTTAATCATTTGTACTGAATTTGAAATGACATAGTATTATCGATTTTAATCATTAGTTTCTTCTTTTTTCGTAATTTTGAACTATGGCTGATCTTCTTCAGAGTTGGTTTCCCCCGTCTTTATAGGTGTATCAATGCAAACGTTTAATTTTGAATCATTGGAATTCCCTGAATTTGTCCTCGGTAATAATGTTCTTACAATATTGCCCGGGTCTTCATCATCCGAGTTATCCAAATCAATTTCAAGAATATTTTTTTCTGAAGGACCGCAAAATATACCAGAAATACCTCTGTTMACTATACATGGTTTCCATTTGCCATTCGCATATAGTTCTATTTCCTTGCACGTTTTAGGCACTTTTATACTATTGACAACAAACAATAAGAACGAGTCTATTTTCAAATGATCCAATTTACAAGTTGCAAAGCATAAAGGGCAATACCATGAGGGTTTCATCTTATTCGAAGAAATAAAAGCTTGCAGGTCAAAACACTGTAAATGTTTACAGTATATTGATTTGGCAGGCAGTGTCATTCTTATTTTAATTATTGGACACAAAAGACTTAACTTATAGCTAGTCACATCTAAATCGCTACCAGAACGTTCCAACAATTCCGTGGCTGTTTTTTTTGTATTAAATGCAAGAATAAATCGATCCTCGTTTGTTTGTATTTCTCTCACTACTTCTTCAACGGCAATCATATCCACCAAATATACTGTYAAAAAAAATGTACTATAACATGGTGGCCAAAGAAATCTGAGAGTATTGACATTAACAGTATTTAAATGCAAATAATCAACAGCATCAAGCACTAARGGGCTTGTTATAACGTCAATAGGTACTTGTTTAGTATTGATCCACGCTTTTATTGGTTGTGGTAATATTTCAGAAATATCACCTAATTCTGGTATCATTTCGCCAATACGAATCTGCAATTTGCAGGTCGGCTTTCCATCTTTGTATTGTGTGCTTATTTGTACAACATCTGATAACGACAAATAAAAGTCAGCGCCAAAACGACAGTTTACTAAAAACAGAAAAATATCTATTAATGAACTTCAAAATATTTACATTGATGATAAATAATATAGATTGCCAACATAAATTCTAACTCGAGGTAGATGGTGAGGCAACATAACTACTAGTGATTAAAACGGCACTGCTAATAATTATCCAACAATCCCTATACCGATACTATATGTAAGGACATCAAACATACGGTTAGGGAGCAATTTATTTATTTAGTATTTTAATCGATTATATTGATTAATAACTTTATTAATCATAGAGTATTTACCGTTATCAACTCCAGCAGCTCTTAAAAAAGGTTTGAATTCAACACGCATYGTTGGGACAAGTACAGTTCTGACACGATGAAATGGCAGAGGTCTAAATTGTATATGTGAAGCACCTTCAAATATTGAGTCGTAAATAGCGAAATCAGAAACTGCGCTCTGTAGGGGTAAATTTCTTGGGTATGACGATCGATTACCTCCTTCTGTGAGTTGATTCATTTTAAGATATTATTTTAATCTATAACACCACAAGAGATATTTATACCAAATTGTTTTAATATGGTTAGAACGTTTTTTAATTTACCATAACATTTAAGTAATATAAATTAATTCTTAATCTAAGAAAAGGTTTTCATATCGCCAAAAACTATGCATGATAATATAAGATAGTTATTAATAACATTTATTTTATTACTAAACACATTTCATGTTTCATATTAAGGCATATGGTAGCAACGTAGCCAAATCCTAGTAATTACAGGGATATTACTATTCATAATTTATTTACATGGGCGGCTTCAGTTGGTTTTTATAACTATTGCTACGTGCGGGGATACTTCATCTGATACATAATTAAAATATTTTTTGTTAGTGCGCTCATTATTAAGTTATACGAATAAATAAATAAAAATATTATAGGACATCTAGTCATACACCAGACCCCGAGAAAACAAGAAGTTATTATTATAAATCATAACATTTTAGCATAGATTACTGATGTAAGAAAAAGCCAACTGCAGTGATTTACGGTGCTGAGGTAAAACATACACAGTGGGAAAATCATTGGACTTAGAAAACCACGATAGTCTAATTCAGCAGTATGACAAGTATACACGGTTAACGTAATCGTGACACAGAACAGCAAGCTAGATGTAATGCCTGTGTAGGCTAAAGATATGATTGAAAATACACGGTTRTATGCGTAGGAGCGTATGTTGCAACTTGCTAACACTAATTTGAGGCATGACCACCAAGGTTAGGCACCACAAAAGCACTTACTAACTATAAAGTAAGAAAAAGTAAAAGGATAGGCTTGGTTACGAGTGTCCCGAATGGCCCATTTACAATGTGGTTTTAGAGCCTCCGCGCCGCGCGCCGTCGATATATTGGTTTAACTATTTTGACTGAGAATAATTCAATCATAAATATTTTGGATTTTATAAAGTAGTTAAATCGTTTATTTTCTAGCACTGTAAATATATATAATATATTTTAGTAATATTTGTTTATACATATTATTTTAAGTACATATTCATAATTATTTATTAAAACGTACATGATCTATATCCTATATAGCTGRCCAAAAAATATACAAAAAAAATTGCACCTTGTCTCACTCACCTCTATTATACAGTGCGCGACAAAAATATAAAGGCACAATATTTAACCAAATAGAATTGTATACATTATGACGT